TAAAAGTGTAAATATGTATGTGTATGTCATTTCTTTGCAAAACCTAAAGATACAGACTTTCTATCATTTTTCACAGAAAGGAGTAGACAAAGAGTTCTACCTGCTGGCCACAATATTTGATGAAAATCACAGTCATCTCTTAAAAGAAAATATCAAGACATTTACCACAAAGCCTCAAAAGGTGGATAAAGAAGATCCAGCCTTCCAACAGTCCAACAAGATGTACTGTAAGTGACACCGAATTTCTAAAACACATGAATTAAAGTTATTTAATTTCATTCTGCCTAGAAAATTACAGGATGTTTAAGAGAGACTTATAGGCACCCTCAATGGCTGATTAACCAAATTAATGTTTCCTTTAATATAAATTTTCTGATAAATTATTACCCACTTGAGTGTTCATTTTGTATTCAATTTACTAAGTATTTCCCAATGTCTCTTAGGCATTAGATATAGCGAAATGTGAAACAGACAAGTGGTAAATTACTCTATTTATATATCAAGGGGGGGAGATGGGGTACTTCTTGCGTTGTTAGTTGGTTCTGCAAGATTGCAGAGGGTAGCAGTATGTGTTGGTGTAGATTCTGAGACTTGGATTCTGGTCTTGACAATTCCATCCCTTAGCTGAACATCACTGGGCATGTCGCTGCCTTTCTCGCCTCAGCTTCCTCAACTCTAAACAGCAGGGGCTGAATTAGATGATCCCTGAAAGTACCACGTAATCTGTCGTTATCTTATTCTTGAATGCCAATGCAGCTTCTCAATGGAGTGGCTATCTTGCAACCGAAACTTGGAAAATTATACATATTTGTCATCAAACTCTTTTTTTTTTTAATTTTGCATGTAGTTTTATTTAAAATATCTATCACTAAAAATAATAATTATTAATTATCACATGTTAAATAAGAGCAATGCAATTGAATAGCTTCATGTTTTCTTTGTTTTGTTTTATGTGTTTTAATCTTGATTCAGTATACAAGGGGACTTCAAAAAGTTCATGGAAAAACAGTTGAAAGATAATGGAATATTTCCATTAAATTTTTTTTTTTACATTTTAATAGGGGCTCATACAACTGTTATCCCAATCCATACACACATCAATTGTGTAAAGCGCATTTGTACATCATTTCTCAAAACATTTTCTCTCCACTTAAACCTCCAACATTAGGTCCTCTGTCATCAAACTCTTACAGGAATGAACTCTGTTTTATGATTAGAGTTGTGTTTCGTTTCAAAGGATACCAAGCACCAGGAAGATGATACTCTTTGTCATAAATGTCTTACAGCTCTAAATGGATACATGTATGGAAACCTGCCTGGACTGGATATGTGTGTGGGAGACAACGTTTCGTGGCATGTTCTCAGTGTGGGATCGGTGTCAGATTTACACGGGATATATTTTGCAGGAAATACCTTCACTTCCTTAGGCTCAAGGATGGACACTGTCAGCCTCCTGCCCTACATGTCCCAGACGCTTGCTATGACACCTGATGCCATAGGTAAGTGGTGGATCTTCTTTTTCAGCCAGAAACATGTCCTAAAATGCATCAACATGGTCTTTAGATGCATTCGGTATTCTGTTTGTATAAAAAAGAAACTGAGCTGACACGCAATGCTAGAAAATCTCCTTTCTCCCTGTTCTATTTATGTAACTTCTAGAATGATAACTCTATTAAGTGTATAGTAGGTCATGTTGTTATAAATATAATTCCCCTAAGCTTCTCCTCGTTCCTGATTGCTGACTTCCATGCTATGACTCAGCCTGCATGCTTCAAAATCACTGAAGACAGCCGGTCGCATTCTAACCTGTATTGTAGCACTGAACAGGAGGCCTGGCTCCTGGGGTGATGCATTGGACTGCTAATCAAAAGGTCAGCAGTTCAAAACAACCAGGAGAAAGACGAGGCTTTCCACTCCCATGAAAAGTGACAGTCTCAAAAACCCACAGGGGCAGTTCTACCCTGTCCTATAGGGTCACTGTGAGTCAGAATCGACTGGGTGGTGAGTGAGTAGCACTGCACAGAACTTAGGTTATGTTACAAGTGAAAAGAAAGTGTTGTGTGGGTGGGTGGGGACAGATCAAACTGAGCAACATTTTAAAATGTTCCAACAGTCGTCTGAGAAGTGAGATATTTTATACATAAAAATGAAGCTGAGTATAAAAACCACAATCATGGGGGCTTTGGATTACATGTAGCTATATGTGAAAGAGTCCAGTAGATTTTCATGTAGTAGTAGGGAAAAAAGTATTGAGGAAACAACCATTTGTCAAGTCTGGGTGTTGTATCAAAGAATTCTACCCAGTTACCTGTAATGATATTAAAACCTTTTTCTTCTTCACTCGAAAATATCCCCTAAGATTGTTTTCAAGTCAGCCTGCCTGCCTGATGCTGTTTTCAGTCCAGTCTCGGTGGGATCAAATGTACAACATGCGCTTGAAAGATTAGACAGAGGCCTTCTGGGGTCACGAGTCTGTTCATGAGAGAGGGTGCATGCACATGGTTGTGCAGCCGCAAGAACGGCATCAGTGTGGTTAAATTGTACACGCAGACACTGTGTTTCACCACGTCTGCGCTCAACAAAATAACATTGGACAAATCTCTCCTTTTCAAAAAAAAAAAGTCATGTCACAACAGGATAGGCATACAATTACCAAAATAGAAGAAAGGACATTATAATGTGCTGTTGTTCTAAATTAGACTGCGCTGTTGTAGTTATTGTGTGCTGGGTTGTGTGTATGTTGGTGTTGCTTTGTTGTTGTTGTTTACAAGATCAGTATGAGTATTGTCGGCATCCTTTGGCTCCCTGCTTCCACCCTGATCTAAATAATGCTCCTGGACGATTTTAATGCCCTGCCAAGAAAGGTCTTCCTAGGCACCAATGGTGGTTCAGTAGACTTCTCATTTTCTGTGGGGAAGACGTGGGTTCAATTCTCAACCAAGTGAACACCACGCCCAGCCAACACCTGTCTGGCAGGGCAGCCGGGCTGAGTGCTATGAGGTGGACCACGTCTCAGTGGACCTTCCCGACTAAGAGGGGCTAGGAAGAAACAGTTGGCAACTACTTTCCAAAAAATCGGCCCACGCAAGCCCTGTGGACCACAGCGCCCCACCCATTGTGCACCAGGACGCGGTGAAGCAGCAGTGCATTTGACTGGCAGCTGACAACAACATCCACGTGTCCCCAGCTTCATCCTTTATCCTCCTGATCTAGTTTCAGCCAACTGGCCCAGCCTGTCTTCACCATTTACTCAAAATCCCACATGACCTGCCGTCAAAACTGCAGACTTGACATTAGACCACAAGGCCCCTCATGACCAGTGGCTCCACTGCGATGGATTCGGTCCCCTGGTGGGCTCCCTTTGGCTCGGTCCACTCCAGGCACAGAGGTCCCGGGGAAGTGGCAGCAAGCAGGCTTCAGCTGGCTTCCACCTGTTCTCTGGGAAGCATTGATCTCCTTGCTTCCTCTGCCTGGTGGCTCTTTCCCAAGCTAGCCCCGACCCATCCCTCTGCAGTTTTCACTCAAATGTCATCCCCACAGTCAGGCCCACCTTTGTGACTCCGTAAAACAGGATCACTGCTCCCTCACACCCTCCGTGTTCAGAATTCGTGATCTTGATCGCACCGGCCTACTTATTTCCTTTATAACTCGGCATCACCTTCCGGCACGCTAGAAACAAACACACAAAACTATGTTAACCACACTCTGCCACGACATACCTCCCCTCTGAGCACAAAGATTTTGACTCGCCCCTCCGTGGATGTTTCCCACGTGCTTAAAATTAGGTCTGACACATAGAAGACGTCCCATGAGTGTCTGTTGAGTCGATAAAAGATGAAACAAATGATC